TAATTGTAATTGTGACTTTTCTATAATTCAGATTTTATAAATTTATATGTAGTGCTTTATTTTATTAAATGTGTCGCGTGATTTTTGTTTTTTAAATCTGATTATATGTTATTGACATCCGTTAATTCCTCCTTTTGGCTTTTCTAATTTTTGTTTAATATCTCTTTGGAGTCTTTCTATTATATTTGAGATAAGGAAAAAATTCGAAAATTGTCTTCGATTTGTACAAATTTAAGCGCCTTGCCTCATAAATTCGCTAATTGCGAGCCGCGAATGCGTTACTTTGAAACGATTATTAATATAATACAACAATAGAACAAATTCGGAAATTTCGAATACGCGAGCGACTATTGCAGTCAATTCGGCTTACGCAGGAAAACTTTCAACGTTGAAAGTTCAATGTTAAACATCAAAGACAAACTGTGATTTTAATCCGCCATTTCTCGGCGCGTTTTAGAGACGGTCAGGTGTTGCGCCATATATACGGGAAATAAATGCATCGCGTGTAAACGGTATTCGGAAAGTTCGTATGTGCCGGAGAGTTTCGTAGAATATCCGACAATTTAAACAAAGAGAAGCTAACGTATCGGCTCGGGAGCTTTAACTCTGTAAAATATTTGTGTCGCGACATAAATCTCCATAAATAATTCAGTGCAATGGAAAACGCAAGTAACATTTTGCCGATAAATGTTTTTATTAGAGAAACCTTATTTCTATCAGAAATCTATTTACGGAGATTACTTGCATTTTTCAAGAGTACCGCTAGAAAGTAAACCCTCCTAGAAATTGTTATCTTTGTCAAAGCGAAATTAGGTCATTCTCGCTCAATGCAGGGTTTCTACTTGTTTCTTGACAAAAATTATGCTAAACAGTGTATTATCACAGTTCACACGCGAAGCTCGCCAAAAGAAAGAAGTCACGACGGTGCAATAAAGCAATAAAGATATCGTTGATAAAAGAAAACGAAGCGCAAAATGACGCAATCAATAATAAGTATCGCGTCATAAAAAAAGGCAATAAACGTATATTACGTAAAAAATATCCCAATTGATTATCATTAATAAAAGATTCAACGCGCTTCTCCACGTTATATGTAATTTCATAAGCGCCCTTTGTGACTAGCACGTAACGTTGAATTCGACATTGATTTAAAGCCTCGCTTTGATTACTGCATAAAATCGAAATTATTGGCGAATAAACGATGAATTATAGCCGCTTATATCGTTATTCGATATTCATTCATCATGAATCAAGAAATACAAAATTATATTTTTATTAATGTCTATAATCTGTTATATATTTTTTAGCTTTATGTTTAACTTCTCACATCTGCTAAATGTTTGAAGACGTCAAAATCAAATAGATATTCTGAGCTATAATGCAATTTAGACACAATACGAAAATGGTTAATTCGGAAATAGAAGGCATTAATGATGTCTACAGCGCAACAATGACATTATGTGATACAATATTACTCTCTACTGGCAAAGCATTTTCGACGCGTTATCTGATTCGAGCCTTTTCCTTTGATCATAACATGAGTACAACCGAAATGAAATTTCTTTCTCTGGTTAAGTAGCTATTCCACCTTCATCATTAAAGTTGCGATTCATCATCATTCTATATATATTGAAAATGTCTGTCATACCGCAAGAGAAAAATCCAGAACTAAAAAAGACAGGGCGGAGAGAGAGAAAAAGAGAGAACGCACAGTGCGTTAAAAATTGATTCTGGTAGCTGAATCACGATGTGCTTGCGCGACGTGCGCCGCTTTACGATTCGCAAGGCGCGTCCCAACTTGCGGCTGCTATGCGGAAATTGCTGGTAACGAAGCAAGAAACGTACTACACTGCGAGAGACGGTATCTTATTATGAGGAAAATAGGACACGCTACACGCAACGCTCGTAAAAGGCTGCTGTACTGTATTCTGACTGCAAGATAGCTAGAGGCATTTTTCTCAGTTATTCTCTAATTGATCAACGAGAGACTTTTAATATCCTTATCGTAAATGTACCATTTCGCAGAAATTCGCTACTTCGCGCTAATTTCGCGCCTGTCCTTGGTCTACAGCTCTTAATTCTCTAGGTACGTAGGCTGCGCATGTATGAGGCTTCTTAAAAGACACGCAGTAATTGTCAAATTTTTAAGTAGTGCTTAAATCGCTAATTTTATTATCCGCGCTTATCGTTATTTTTAAATCGCCATTTATCATTCTTTCATATTAAGATGATATAAAAGGTTGCACATAAAATTCTCAAAAGGTTCCTTTTATGATTCGAGTGTACGATAAACAATAATTTAGTTTTATTCGCTATTAGGGTCAATTCGACAAAATTTGACTCGAATTCTCCGACGTGGAATCACATAAAGGAGCCTGTATTTTCCATACAAATGTATTTTTCGAGTGACCGCATAAAATGAATTTCTCCTTAATAAAACGTTGAAAATTAAGATGAGATCGCGTCAGGACATAAAGTTGTATTATCAATAAAAGCAGACGAATTTTTCGCGAATTATGTAGCGCGGCATCTCGCAAAGGCTTTGCTAAGAAATCGAAAAATTTACCGCGTTTCCGACCGACCTGAATGTCGTTCACTTCGACGGACATCGCCGAAGGAATCCCGTCGTGTACGGTGAACAGAAAAAGAACGCGCTTTGGCACAAGACTGGTCACTTTTTACGGGTCACAGCTCAAGAAGAATCGAAAGTACAATTTTCCGATGGTAGTATATTCTACGCCGAATTTAAATATTTTAAGAATTTTCTCGGAGAAAAAGGAGCGTTAAAATAAGTTTTATCAAAATAGTTTTGTCAATATAGTTCTCTCAAAATTTTTGTGAAACATTAGTGATGAGATTATATGCGATATTTCAAGATTAAATAAATAGTAAGACAGATTTATTGTATTTTTAAAAACGCGCTAGATAATGATATATTAAATATTTAATGCAAAAATAATTGGATGAGAACAACAAAAACTTGAATTTCGTAATCCAGGAAATTCCAGATTATTCTGTCATCAATAAATTACGGAGGAAGAAACAGAGTACAGCGATATAAATTGCGAAGTTTTTCGCGAAACTTGAGAGTGCTTTAATCAATCATGTTTAAATTTCTCGCACTACTTCGAGATTGTCAAAATAGATGATTGATGCAATTTCTTGCACTGCCCGTTAAAGTTGACATCGTCAAACGCGTTTTTATTAGCGTTCGATATTGTTTACTATTTCGTTTACAATTTTGTTACTGCAATAACAATCAAAATAACGTTCTCTTTTTCGTGTGTATATATATATTTATATGTATATATAAATTACGTGATTATGATTTAGAACACCACTTTTGTCCGGCTTTGAAAAAAGAGGAAGGTGTAAAAGCCTTGTCTTATAACTTTGAGCACGCTGCATTTACACGCACGCTTTTAGGAGTACCCGAAGATCACTAGAAGGTCTCCGCGTTCGATCGGAACAAAGTTTACTTTTATATCATCATGATCGCACATCACGTACCGGTAACTTCGGGGCTGATGCCTTCGAAAAAGCTTCGTCCGAAGTTTAAATATTCCCTGATACTTGGTGACTCTCCTCTCTCTCTCTGTCCCTTTAAACCCTTTAAAACCCTATCTCCCCCATACCTCCACCCGTCTTACAAATGACGCGGACGTCCAACGTATATGGCGACATTGCGAGTGCTCGAAAAAAGCATTAACCTCCTTTTTCGACTTCTGTTTCAAGAGAGCTCTGTCGCATATTTCCGAGCGAATTTATCGACTTTACTATCAGCCGATGAAAAATTTAGTAACATGCGACGTAATCGAAAAGAGGAGAATATTTTCGATAAGAAATTGCTGTTAATAAACCTCTAAGAGCCATAGGTTCCACATGCCAGAAATTTCAGTCAGAGAGAAAAAAGAATGGTACCACAAGAATTATCGATGTCGTGTTTGCAATTCTCTTATGACAATAGCTCATGCAATACGGGATTTAAACGAATATCGATATCTGAGTGAGTCAACTGTAGTTTGTTTCATAGAAACGAGATAGCGAAAGGAATACGTCGAATAAGAAATGCGTGTTCTTAGTTTGTATATAATCTTCTTTCGACGAAATGAATTTGTTCTCGTTTTTTCTTCTATTCTCGCGTGATACAAATTTAATAATTTTCGTAAGTAGCAGTCAGTATATCACAATTCTTCGCAAGATAATATAGAGAATTATAGATATGGAAATTTTCACATGCAAACACCGCGTAGTTTAGTTTAACAACCGTGCTCGTAGAATAATAATGTGCGCTTTCGTAATGCAAATTCGTTGAAATAATAATAGGCTAATAAAATAACAAATAATGGATAGACATTTAATAGAAATGCGAATGCAATTTCAACTTCTGTGTTTGCCGACATTAATTTGTAATTCGTCGATTGCAGAAATTGTATATTTTTAGCAATCTCCATTCATCGCTAAAAATATAACGACTTTTATCTGTCAACAAGCTACAGCTCCTAAAATAACAAATATATAAAGAGAAGAAAAAAAACATATTCATGTGTGAATAATTCTCCGGACAATGCGACACGGCAACTGCTGTAATTTCCGCGGTACGGAGCTCGAACAGTAAACTAGTTTACATGATTTGCGGGACGATACTCTAATACCATGGCAGCTCGACAGCGGACTCGTGATATCTAGTAAAATACCAACCGTTAATTAATGCTTCCGTGTGGTGGCGAGAGACGAGTACAAAGACAGCGGCAAGAATGATCCCCGCGTCAAAGGTCAAACGAACACATCCGTCGTCGCGATTTCCGATTATTTTCTCATATCAATTTCACGCGAAATGAAATTCCAATAATCAATAATTATATTAACGTGAACATATTTAATCATAATGATAAACATCTTATATTTTTTTCAGCTATTATCTAAGCAGAAGATAGATAAAAAGAGATGTATCATATAGATAAATATTTCGCGATAAGGTGATGCGTACTTATAGAGTTGATCCGCCTGACTTTAGTCAGTCACGTATTTAAGCAGATTGACTAACGAACGAGACATTTTCCTCTCTTCAAGTTCGGATTGAATAGACGATGAAAGGTAATTGTTGAAATACTTAAGATATTTTTATAATAAGAGTATTAAAAAGAGTTAAGCAATCGAGACACTAATATTATACTTCGCAAAATCTTTTTCATCAATTAAAATTTACATAATTAATTGATATCCTTTCGATTAAATTACGATTTGATTTCGTATTATCATTGATGTGTTTGACCTAATTTTCATTCGATATAGCAATACACGTAATCACCATCGTCTTCGTGGCATCTTGGATCGTCGTTATCGCGGACAGGGATTTCGATCAAGATAAATCTCAATCTATTCGGGAAAAAGCTTTAGACGAAATTCCCACAGAATGCCCACTTCGTGACACAAATGACACGGTCCATCTCGCGCACGAAACCGATTGCACAAAGTTCTACAAGTGTTCTTGGGGTAAAAGATATCTGTTTGATTGTCGTTGGAAAAACGACGAGGGAAAAGAGATAATATTGCATTTCAATAAATGGACACAAAACTGCGACTGGCCATGGGAGGCCGGTTGCATCGACTGTCCCGGAAATGAGAAGAATGGTTATCCATCGGTTAAGATATCTCATGAAATCAACAATACTTGTACTCAATACTATCAATGCATAAATGGTGAGAAGCAGCTACGTTATTGTTCCAGCGGATTGTGCTTCAGCGCCACATGCCAAGATTGTGTTCTAAGCCGGACGGGTGGAAATTGCAATTAATTATTATAAAGGATATAGGAAACTTTATTAAATCATATGTCCGTACAGCGTAAATGTTTCCTTCGTTCTATGTAAATAACACTTCGGAAATCTTTCCGATTGGTACAAGAAAATTAATTTTGATTGCAGAATAAAGGAAGAATAAAAAGTAAAAAAAAACTTGTGAAATTACTCTGCTGCTACTTCTCGATTACTATATAAGAATTTCATAATATAAACGCTCCTTTGCTTTTAAAAAATTAATTTAAAGAATATAAAAGAAATTTTAAAATTGACTTTCCTAATATTATATTCCTGAAATTATATTTGTGTGTTCCTCATTTGAAAATACTATTTATCACTTAGAATCAATCGGAATTCACTGTGTAAACGATAATTAAAAAATTTTTCGAACGCGATTGCGCCAAATATTACGAGTGTCGAGATAAAAAAAGGATTATTCAATGGAGTATATATGGCGATCTTTATCTAACAATAAGATTCAAAAATGCAGAATACATGGGCGATTGCAAGTTATTTTGAAAACGATAGAAAACGAATATTGATGATTTGCTCTTCGCATCCCGCGACGATTTTATCAGCCGCGTCGCGAGATTAAATCGAAAAGTAACTTCCTATCAGATTTTCGACCGTAAAAATGTAATACGCAAGTTCCGATTGATACGAGAAAATTAATTTTGATTACAAAATAAAGGAAGAATAAAAACTAAAAAAGCTTGTGAAATTACTGTTGCTATTCGATTACTATATAAGAATTTCATAATATAAACGCTCCTTTGCTTTTAAAAAATTAATTTAAAGAATATAAAAGAAATTTTAAAATTGACTTTCCTAATATTATATTCCTGAAATTATATTTGTGTGTTCCTCATTTGAAAATACTATTTATCACTTAGAATCAATCGGAATTCACTGTGTAAACGATAATTAAAAAATCTTTCGAACGCGATTGCGCCAAATATTACGAGTGTCGAGATAAAGAAAAGATTATTCATTGAAGTACGTATGACGATCTTTATCTAAGAATAAGATTCAAAAACGCAAAATACATGGACGATTGCAAGTTATTTTGAAAACGATAGAAAACGAATATTGATGATTTGCTCTTCGCATCCCGCGACGATTTTATCAGCCGCGTCGGGAGATTAAATCGAAAGTTCCGATTGATACGAGAAAATTAATTTTGATTGTAGAATAATGAAAGAATAAAAACTAAAAAAAGTTGCGGAATTACTACTGCTATTCAATTACTAAGAATTTCACAACATAAACGCTCCTTTGCTTTTTAAAGATTAATTTGAAGGAAACGAGAGAAACTTCAAAATTTACATTCTTAATAAAATATTCTTGGAATTAGATTTCTGTTCCTCATTTGAAAATATTGTTTACCACTTAAAGTCAATCGGAATTCATTGTTTAAACGAAAATTTGAAAATCTTTCGAACACGACTGCGCCAAATATTACGAGTGTCAAGATAAAGAAAGGATTATTCACTGGAATATAATATGGCGATCTTTATCTACTCTAATAAGATTAAAAAACGCAGAATACATATTCTAATAGTATATTTTTGAAGTTATATTTTTGTTCCTTATTTAAAAATACTGTTCATCACTTATTGTTAGAGTCAATCGGAAGCGAATTCATTGAATGGCGCACGCGTGCAACAGTTTGTATCGAGCAAATAATGACTTCTAGATGAAGGGATCAAACTAGATAATTAAAATTGATGTTGTAAGATTACGTACGCTTGTTCCGCTTGGCATTTGGACACTTGCCATCGACCTGCTACAATGGCACTTCGCAACTTGTCGCGAAATAGGAGCAACGCGAAAATAAATTGAATAAAACCTTTCGGCGCGCACGCGATGTATTATTATATAATTTATGTGTTATATCATTTAACTTATTCAACTCGCGATTAATTCCCGAGTTTAGAAACGTCTTAAAATTCCATCTTGTAAATCTTATACATAACAATAGATAAAAAAATAGAGAAATATTATCGGAGAAAAAAAAATAGATAACATAATTTATGTATTATGTCATTTAACTTATTTAACTCGCGATTAATTTCCGAGTGTAGAAACGTCTTAAAATACCATTTCGTAAATCTTATACACAACAATAAATAAAAAAAAAAAATAGAAAAATATTATTAGAGAAAAAAAAAGAAGGTAATATAATTTATGTATTATATCATTTTACTTATTTAACTCGCGATTAATTCTCGAGTGTGAAAACTTAAAATTCTATCTTGTAAATCTTATACACAACAATAGAATTAAAAAAAATAGAAAAATATTATTAGAAAAAAAAAGAAGGTAATTACTCAACATCGCAAAGAATGATATACTTTTTAAATTTCAAGTTTCTATTTGAATATGTAAAATCATATGTGTATGTTTAAAATATATAATATAATGTCGTCAATTTTCTTATTATTTTACTCACACATGGCAAAACGTTCGCCTGTCTATGCGAGGGACGATATTTTGCGTGGCTAGAGAGATTAATGACTGTTAGTAGTAGAAACGTTCTCTTGTAACTACAGCAGTAGACGACGGAACGTCGAGTCAGACACGGCACTCGGTGGGGGAGACGGTTAAATAGCTTCGCTAACGGGCTTTGCGTGATAACGGACAAACGGAAAGAATTTAATTGCAAACATATACATAGTTAATAATACTCATTAACCGAAGAATTCTTGTGTTCTCTCGCAGAGTAAACTTTTCAGATATATTTTATGCACGAATCGTACTCTGTGGTCGTCGCGCGTAACACAAGTTAATAGAAAGATATAATTACTACATAAAGAGAAAACTTTTGCTTCGGATACATGAAAATTTTTCCAATTAATTTTCGATTAAACAATCATTTTATAATCACCGCAAGGAGATTCGCAATAACGAAAACGCTCTTCTAGATCAATGTACACGACGGTTCATTTAACCGATCGAGAAACCGCGTAAAGATGTATAAATATCGATCATTCGGTGCAACTTCAGCCTAACCGCCAAAAGCGAGCTCCAAATCCTCTTATCTGTAACATGTACGCGCGTTAAGCACCTCGAATTAGCAGCGTGCGTGCTGCTGTCATACGCCGCTTTAACCAAATCGAACATCATCGCGATATATCGGACGTCAATAAAAGAGAAATATAGCTCGCTCGCTCGCTCTCTCTCTCTCTCTCCCTTTCTCTCCGCAGAAACGATCGCGCGACAGGCATAAATAAACATAAGTAACATACCTGGTCGGCCCGATCCAAGGTCAGGTCACTAGGCCGGGAGCACACGGTGTTGGCTTATCCTCGCCTCCGTTCGGAGCTGCGTATCGACAGGTATGACAGGTGCGATGTTACACACACGGGCGACGTAAAAGCCGACGACGCGGTACAGCCGGCTGCACCGACAACGAGACGCCGTTGAAAAGGGATGAGAGACGATGCGCGGGGATGAAGCGAGGGGGTGCAGCGAGAGAGGCTCGCCCCCGTTATTGCGACGACGACGAGAACGATCGACTTTGACCGCTGCTCCCGACAGCGACGAACGCTCGCCCGCGAGCGAGAAATGACGTGTGCGGGGAGAGGGGGGGGAAAGTAAACTACTAATCGCCTACTCTCGGCGACGATCTCGCGCCCGCGAATCCGCTGCCGACGTCCGTCGACGACCGTCGCGGTGCGCCGAGCACTCGCGAGGAACACACGCGGCCCGCGACCTAACCTCCCGATCTTCGCCGAACGACTGGCGGGCTTGAGGCTTGAGGCTTGAGCGAGCGCCCGGCGCGCGCGTTCCGATTATCCCCTCTCCTGTTTTCCCCCACCGGCGTACGGTGGTGGGGGATGCGCGACATCTCCCTGTACGAGTTTGTACTCGCGCACGCCTCCTCCCCCCACTCCTCCCACAACTGGCGCGAAAAGCGGAACGTTCAATGGCGATTCGAACCTCACGTTTCGACGTTAAATTCGCATATTCCACGTCAACGACTTTCTAATAGCGAATTATAGCAAATGTTATAATAGTGAATTAATATAATAAATATAATAATAGCGATTTCAGTTTGATATACAAGCGCGCATAAAGGTTATTATACACGAATTTATAACGGCATATAAATAATTAAAAAGGTAAAATAATTAATACTAAGAGCAATTATTATTGTTGTTTAATACATATAATAATAATAAACTCTTACTGTAATACTATCATAATTATCTTAATGTTTTAATTACTTACGTTTATATTGTAAATTTGTTTACGATAACTTTCAATGCGCATCAGTACATCGAACCGAATTCGCTATAAAAGAAAAAATCTTTTAACATTAAAATTTGATATTAAATAAATACATACCGTTGTCGAAGAAATTATTACATTTATTACTGATTAAATGCCACATCGATCGCAATTTTTTTAGTTTAATCTCTAATAAATATGCGTTAAAGGGAATTATAAAAGAATATAATATATCTTGTATAAAATAGAAACGTACTTTTTTTCGAATAGGAAAATCACCGATGATACGGGATACGCCTCACGCTTCAACACGCACGTAAATGCAATGACCATGACTATTTTTCTATAGAGTGGAATACACGCATATCCGGTCGCACTCGCGTTTCCGACCCACATGCGCACGTCGCTTTAAGTTTGGCGCGAAAGCGCGCGCCGTATCGTGTCGATGGCCCAGCTGGCGCCAGCGGCGTCCTGGAAAACAGAAAGCCAAACCGGTCATGAGAGGCTAGTTAACGACTGTTCGCCGCGCTCATATCACGTTCGCCAAAAGTTCTGTTTTCTGGCGTAATATTACGCGATATATTACGCGCGGACGCCGCGGGAGCGACACGACGGCCAGCCGGTATTTCGAAAGATGGGAGCTTATCTGTCGGAGCCGATTACGAAGAAGGAGTCAAGCGACGAAGCGGGAAAAAATGTTGCGTACGGCGCGAGCTCGATGCAGGGCTGGCGAATCAGTCAGGAGGTAAGCGGGAACGTCGTGCAGCGGCGGCAACGGCCGCGGCAACAACGCGCGCGCGCACCGTTGCCGTTATCCGGTTTCGGCGAGTTTTCGGGGCCGCGCGTTTCACCTGGTTTCACCGGCGACCCGGCGAAACCGGCAACGACGCCCAAGAGCCCCGGGTATGACGCGACTAACACTCGCCGACCACGTTTGCTTCTTTTCGCGCCAATAGACGAGATATCTCGATGAAAATGTGATCCAGGCGACGCTTTGGTCGATATTGCATTTTTCTTTTATTAAATAGATATAATTTTATCAGCAATATTTCTTCGATATATATAGTATGGAAAATATATCAATTATAATGATATCTATGATAAATGATAAAATTGTTACATGATAATACTGTCTGTATGCGTAGTGATTGTTTTATCTTACTTATTGACGCTAATCTTTACTGTCAAATTGAAATAAATCGGCTACCTAAGAGAGCAAAAGTTTAATTCTATAATAATAGACTTTTTATCGATGTTTGAATTGACTTGTAATGTTAGAATTTCTATGATAGAAGAAACCCTGTCGAGAATATTGAAATTATTAACTACAATTGCTTATTTGTAGGATGCGCACAATTGTTGCATAGATTTTGATGACAATTGTTCACTGTTTGCTGTATACGATGGTCATGGAGGACACGAGGTAGCGACATATTGTGCACGTTATCTTCCTGACTTTATCAAAGAGACGGAAGCTTACAAAAGAGATGACATCAGGCAAGCTCTAAAAGATGCTTTCTTGGGTTTTGATGCTACTCTCACAAAACCAGAGGTAGTCAAAATTCTTCATGAACTTGCGGAAACGTCAACGACGGAGAAGAAAGAAGGTGACAACGAATCTGGTGCGTTTTTTTTCATCTTAAGGATATGCATTATTACGGGATATACTATTATCCAGATAATCTTGCTAATTGCACACTTTGCAAGCGTTAATTTATTTCTTTTACTTACATGCGCGAGTAAACCTTTAATAAGATTGTCTTCGTACATTACATTACGTATAGATGAAGAAGAGAATGTTAGTAATCTGTGTATGGAGGCGACAATGCCGTTGGAGCAAGTAATGGCAAAGTATAAGTCAGAGATGTTGAATACTCATATAAAAAACTTGAAAGGTGAAAAGTGCGGTAAACGCGCATTTGCGAGTCCTTTCCTGCGAGGTCGAAGGGAACGAGAGAAAGCGACCTGTTCGTCCCTTGGAGCGGGATGTTCGTCGTCACCATCTCCACCACCTCCATCGTCGTCCTCGTCGACTATGACTGCCTGGAATACAAACGAAACAGACGTTAGTAGTTCCAGTCAACCATGTGGATCGACTCTGTCTAGCACAGTGGAGCAAAAAGAGTCCGAATGTCCAGGAAGCAACGAAGCCGAACAAGTGCTGGATTCGACGACGAGCAATGGTAATGCTGCTCATGTGTCACCACCAGTGGGATCTACTGCGGATGTAGAACCTGCCAAATCTATGGATATGCCCGACAGTTCGGAGGACGTGAAAGAGAAAGTTTCGAGTCCCGGCAAGACGCCGCCATGCGCGGAGTCTAATGCAAACGAAGTAGAAGTTAATGGCGCGGAATTGAAAAGGGTCGGAGATGCGGACAGCAGTAAGGGCGGAGGAGACAATGTATCGAGCAGTTCCTGCACTCCCGTGGAAAATGGAGATGCAGATCAACAAGAACGGATAACTAGCAGTGGTCGAAGAAGAGTTCAACCTGTGGATCTTTACCAAAGCTTACTGAAAAAGGACAGCGACGATTCCGAAGAAGACGAGGACGATGATGAAAATGACGAGACGTTCGATGGTGTCCCTGAAAGGTATAGGACTACATTGTTCAATGAATAAATATGTGATTTTAAAGCATTGTTTTCCAATTGCGAAATTATCTCTTTTTTCTTAAATCGCTTTACAGTGAGGAGGATGATACGGAAGATATTGACGAGGACGAAACCGATGATGATGAGGAAATCGAGGAAGAAGATATAGATGATTCTGACGAGGATCATGACATTATGATAAATCTAGAAAAGGTACAATATATATTTCGATTTTTTTTTTCTATGAGATTTGTTGAAACTTGCTTTATTTATTATAGATAAAAGCAAAATTAAGAAAAGAGAAGAGCGTATGTTGACTAAAAAAATGTGAAAATTTCCATTTGGAGACATAAATAATGTTTTTTTTTGTAGCCTGGTTCAGATAGTGGATGTACGGCGGTGGTAGCGATACTCAAAGGAAACGAGTTGTATGTAGCCAATGCTGGGGACTCTCGATGTGTTTTATGCAGAGACGGCCAGGCGGTCGAGCTTAGTTTGGATCATAAACCCGAAGACGCACCGGAAATGGAACGTATAGTAAAAGCAGGTGGAGAAGTAACGGGCGACGGCAGAGTGAATGGCGGTCTCAATCTTTCGAGAGCGCTCGGCGATCACGCGTATAAGCAAAATATGGTATTACCAGCTGAGGAACAAATGATTTCCGCTTTGCCGGACGTAAGGCATATTACGATTGAACCAGGAAGAGACGAGTTTATGGTGCTCGCGTGCGATGGCATATGGAACTTTATGACCAGTCAAAACGTTGTCCAGTTTGTCCGCACCCGTTTATCACAAAATTACGAGAACATCTCAAAAATCTGCGAAGAGGTATGGAGAATCACGTTACATTATATATATATATATATATATATTTTTTTTGCAAATTTTATTTGCCAATTTAATTTCTACTTAGATAATTAGAGTAAAATAAAAAAAGATTTTTCAATCTTTGCGGGCGCGTATATTTCTTTTTCATCTTCAGAAAATTCAGAGTATTCTCTTTATATAAATAAAAAATCTGACATGTGTTTCAGCTATTTGATCATTGCCTTGCACCGGATACTCTTGGTGACGGAACGGGTTGCGATAATATGACTGCCGTAATAATTAAGTTTACAATGCCGGCGACCGCAACTGTTAAAAGTAACACCGTTGCCGAGGTATGCGTCAAGAAGCGATCGATATCACCAACTGTTGATGAAAATAACGAGTGTATCGCGGAAGAAAACACAGTAAACTCTTGTAAACGCGCCAAGACCGAGGCAGCTATATAAATCAAGAGTCACCACGTGTCATGAACTGATCTCCGGAAGCAGACAAATTAATGTGAGTTATTGTAAAATTATGTAACACTTTGTATTACTATGTAAAGTTGAAACGGTGGGTTATGCAGTAATAGGCACATGAAATAGTGCAAGGTGTGTTAATGTGTTGATTGCTGCTGACAGACTGCTCTATTGGAGCACGTGGGAATGATATAGTGTCGTTTTCTTAGTGGACACACATATAAGTTATTTTTTGATTACGATAAAATAAATCATTATAAAGAGTGTTTCAGTTTTTCTCTCGAGATTGTATCTCACGCATATATCTATTTAATACTACATAATATTGTTCGATAGCCTCTAAATATGAGAAAGGTTATATGCATGCAGAAAGATTTAAAGATTCTTTTTTCTTTGATTGAGCTTGTAAAAATTTTCCCTCTAAAGGGGAAAAAAGATTTGTAAAATGTAACGCGATTCCATATCTTTTTCAAGATGCTCTGATTGTATGACGCGCAGTAAACATTTTGACTGGTCATAAATTATATTCCATATTCTGAATCTGAGATCTGATCTTGCATTTTATTGTTGACAAGTAATTTAACACATACGGGCTAATATTTTTATTGTGTCGTGTATATAAAACGCTAATAATAGAAAACATAATCTTGATAGAACTCACACAAAAGTCTCGTCCATTTCTTCACAAGCATTTACTGACATAAAAAATATGAAAGATATAATATTCTTAATACATAAAAAAAATATATAATACAATTATTCTCTCTCTGGAAGTTTTAAGACTTGCTATAAATCTCTTGTAACACGTTATTATATAAATTGTAGTTGCTTTTAATATAATTTCATACATAATCCTTTCATTTATTAACTGAGATCATATATCTATTATCTGTTATTATTTCATATAAATGATGCAATGATACTGATGAAAATTTGCATGTAGAAAGTAATTAGATTCCATTTAAGTTTTTCTCTTTTTCTTTTCTATTATATCTTAATACAATTTTTGTTACTGTATACATATAATCCATTATATTCTTACTTTCTTTGTATCCAATAAGTATATAACACATATAAAAAAGGTAATAAAAGGTATTATTTTTCAAAATATATTCAATACATTTTATTTTCAATGGAGAAATAAAAACACTTTAAATAAGTTTATTATACATTAAATTATTAAAATAATTAAATATATTTGTATCATTGCAATATTTATTTCAAACTGTAAAATTTTTTTTGATTATTATACAATAATATCCTATGTTTATACATTAACAATACATTTGAGTTCGATCATCAGATCATTACATATTTGTGTTTGATAATCAGATAAAAAAATTTTCCATATATCATCCCATCTGCTCCAGCTGCACTTACAAAGTATATTCCTTAAGTTTTTAGGGGTTAGACATACATAGTATAAATGTATATATTTATAAATGTAGACTATATAAAACTTCTATTTGTAAGTCAATACATTATCTCTTTATTTTTACGAAATAGAATTTATTTTTGAATCCTTGGGTATATAGTGGTTGAATGGATGGGTGTGCGAATAGCCTTAAGATGTTTAAACTTAACTATATTATATAATTAAGGCAATTGCGTATAACGCGTTACCAATTTGTGATCTTGTATTAATGATAATGTTAAAGAAATACAAAAAAGATGTACTCGCGTTAAACTACGTCAAGTGCTGTGTATTTTAGAACGATCTAAATTCGGAATTTCGCATATGTCAAAAGTGTGTTTTTTGTAAATTTATACAGCATTGTATAGATGTATTGTAGAGCTTTCAGAAAACGATAAGAGCGTTTGTATTGTGCAAAGGATTGCAATTGCAGAGCTGAAAGTGGTAATTTGACAAACGCATTATAGTTGTGGGGTATAAAAAAAATTATGATAAATTTAAAATATGATTACCACGATATTTGTAGTACTTTGATAAATGCAAAGTACCCGTAGCATCGTCATAGCTGCAAAATTCTTTCTGATAAAAGTGAAATGTTTGTAGTATTATAATAAGTGCAAAATACTTGTAGTATTCTGACACAAAATAGAAGGCAGAACATATTATGTCTGGGAGCAAATATATCTCTCTTGTATAGCTATTGAAAATAATGGGGGATTCGATAATTTATTGAAAAGAAAGTCAATACATTACTTTCAACAATAATTAGATGAGAATTGCGAATTTTTGCTCTTAGATATACTTAAATATGCCTACATCACGCTCCTCCATCCAATATTTACCCATGAATACGAATAGATTGATGAAGCGCATGTTAAGCACGGACACAGTGTCTTTGTAAAACTCTTGTCTAAGAAAATTACGATTTTATTCAAATTAAAAGCTAAATTATTTGACATGCGCGTTTGTTGCAACACTCGTCGCATGCTTTCAAATTTTATTGAAGCTTGCATTACACGATTAATATACATTAACCGTAAATAGGCAATATTATTTGAACAAATTAAAAATCTATCGTCATTAGTATCTTATTTTTTGTTTTTACATACTAAGATTTTCACGTTGTATAGAGGTTCATGATTCGATCGCAGAAAGAGACATTTCTGTGTTTCCACATTGTAGAAATTCATATAAAATTACATTAAAATTCTATGAGATGAATATAGAAGATAGAAATGTGAAAATAGTGAGTCGGCCCAGTGACATCTTTGCGATATCTGACATTTTCCACCAATATATATTCTTCTGTCGATGCTCATGTGTAATCGCGATTGTTAGTGTAGACAGTAATTTTATCGAAGAAATATTATTTATAGTTAAATGCAGAAGCAATCACGATACTCTCATGTAAACACCGTTTGCAAGGTGATCAGTAGCGTATCGATATTAGACGTGCGGTACTTCTAGTGTCATCCAGAAAGAACTGATGTGCCTTTCCAATTCAGGGGTTGACAACCTCCGCAACATATGTATGTACATTCGATTCCGTCTCAAGAAGAAAGGTTTGCACCCCAAATACTGTCTTTAACTGCAAACTCCATCATATATACACACTTATGTATAATAATACCTTGTTTCATAATACATGTCACACTCGAATCAATCTCTTATTTCTATTTTCTCTCCTTTCAAGTTTTTCATTTTTTCCTCCTGTCTGAGAAAAATGGATTATATTCTAAAGCATATAAATGATCCAAAAATATGCTCAAGCCTGCTTTTTGCGTGTAATAAAATTAATTTCTTCATTAAATAATCTTTATTAAATGTATTTAAACAAGTAACAGAATAAATCTGACTTTGTATAATGTGTAGAATTAGCTTTGCCACTTGTCTAAAATTCACATTGTTCGTTATCGCGAATGCATCATGTTCTATATTGTAATAAAAGTATCTTTCTCATTTTTATTTGATTTTATAGTTGTAATGTTGTAATATATCTCGTAGTTTTTAAAATTTTGAAAGGGTACATTTCATGATATATATCCTATTATTTGTTATCTGTTTAATCTCTTACAATTGGTTATTTATAAAATCGCATAAAAAGGACAGGAAAACTTATAAATTATTTTATTCAACATAGATATATTCGATTCAATATATAACATACATATTACAGATATGAATGAATTCTACAATGCAGGCATGTAACGCGCAATACAAGTGGTCCCTTTATTAATTTTTTGAGGGGATTACAGATCGTATTTTAAAAAAACACGCAAAAAAATATATATGGTATATATACATATATTTTTTTCTTTGTATATTTTAATATATAATATATTTATGCCAGTATATAGATCACACAGAGCCTGTAATTGTTTCTGTACATTCCATCTTTACTCATTTAACACTTTCGGAAAATTGAGCAAACTTATCTCTTATTATTACTCTATCGCAAAATGAAAAATTATAGTTTTCCATCGTCATATTTATGGTCAGTAAATATTTATTCGCATTGATTTCCGAAACGCTTTGGTTCCAAATGTCACTCGAGAGATTCCTAAGTGAAAGTGGGTAGAATAATGATCGCTATAGTCGCTATATCAATTACGACAGCAGGTAAATTATATATATTTGAAATGACATCGGAAAATAAAAAATTCAAAATAAGTTCGTTTATTCAAAATCAGATATATTATATCACATATACTAACGGTAAGATCCGGATAACTTTTGCAATCTAGGGGCTGGAGAAGGGAAATATTCGAGTACTCCCTTCATACGGAGTGTCAAATGAGTACATGAGATTAAGTATGACGCTGCGCATGTTGTCACGTGAGCTATTATGATATAAAAGTGATACGATAGTGTTGGTAAATAATAGTCTGAAAAAATACCAAAATTATCCGGATTTTACTATATTGTAATATTTATTCAAGCTGGAAAGCTTTAAACATATGTAATTTAACATTTTTTACGTTTAATATCTCTAATTCAATCGAAATAACAAAGACGAGTGTTTAAACGCGTCTCCTTAAAATCATTTCTAAATGATATTATTTTTGATTTGTTATTTAATGGCAGTGTGTACTCCACATCACCCTTTAAGCAGTTTAATAGTATTCTAGAGATTTACAGAAAAAATAAATAACACAATATATTTTAATCATTTATTGAAATATCAAATTATGCAAATTTATAAGAAAATATATATAAACACAAGAGGGTTTTACTGTAATGACAATAATGTAGAAATAATAAGCAATAATAGTAACTAATAATTATGACAATTAATCATAATAATGCAATAATGATGATGACGAGACAATGATAATGATAATGAGAATAATAAAATAATAATACTTATACAACAAGTAACAACGCAGTTCTAGTTTTCACAAAAATCTTTTCATAAATTTGATTAATCTAAATGACTGCTTAAAAGTTGTTATAGAGTATAAATTCATAAATAATTTTATCAGTCGCAGAATGGCAACTTGGACTTATTCCTGTCATAGATTTAATGTAACAATTTGGCACATGAATAGTAAACGCGTAGGGCGTTTACATTTATATGATTTATAGAATGAAATTAATAAAAGATGCCATTCTCTCTTATTTGCACATTTATATACATTTATAAATACGCTTGTATAGCAAGTATAGCAAAGACGAAAAAATTTAAAGACAAATTTGTCATTCCATTTTATGTTAATAACGGGGTCGATGAGTGTTTTCTTACAGATGTATTTTCAACAATCAGAGCACATAATTGTGCGCGAAATTAAGATTGTGATGTAAGAGAAATGTATCGAGATGATAGTCCGATCAAAGTTTAACTCTAGGTTTCCTCTAGTGTTCCACGCACAGAGACGAAAGGGGAAAAGAAAAAAAGAAGACTCGAACGACAGGTGATAACCAAGTATCATGTGGCGTTTGTGCTTGGTATACTTCCTGTTTTGTTTTATTTTATATTGATTCGTGTTTTGAAAGAACGAACGACGCTGAGGATCGCGGTATGCGGTGGACTGAGGAGAACAAGACTGGGTCAGTTGGTGTTTTGTTTGTTGGAGCGAAGGCGAGCCAAGCCTGAACGCTCACCCTCCTCTTCGTCGGACGTGCAGGGTACCACGCCGCGCGAGGACGTCGCCTGCATCAACTCCTGATCTGGACCATTTCGATGCTCGTACAACAAAATGTTCAATGTTTCCTCGTATATTCGAGCTTCCGGGAATTCAACCTGAAAGCATAGTTTGTTACACAATTCTGATATCAACGATTGAACATTATATCATTGTATCGCCTGATGTTACCTTTGTATGCTTCTTATCAGTCGTATAGACGATTGAATGGCAGCAGACTTCTGCCACTTTACGACCGTGTCCGTAAAATGTCCAACAGCAAATCTCACTTGAGCCGATGACATCTTTGATAAATAACACTCTACCACTGAATCTAAGTGACATTTTGTCAAATAATTCTATGTTCTTTAGTAGATTGTCATCTGATGTACTGTAAAAATTAGATTAATTTTCTTTAATGGGCTTATAATTGCAATAGTAATAAATAGCTATGTCATGAGTAATGTATTTCGCTGATTCTTATCATTTTTTATGGATTTAGAATATTATCAATCTACAAATTATACAAGAGATAATATATTGCTTCTACATTATGTCAGTCTGTCATTATACTTTAATTTACGTTTGTAAGAGCTAAGGAACATTTATAAAAATCAACAAAATATTATAATATTCCACTGTCAAGCGGCATTTTATATTACCTCGTATAAGAATATTTATTGTTATGCCTATTAATAAGTAGCTTGACTACAGGCTTAGTAGTATTGCTTATGAGTAACTGCTCTTCTTTCTGAGAAGTAATGAGGGGGACTCTGCAGATGGGTTCTGCTTCGCGCTCTTTCCGAAGGAGCGCTTGTTCACACGACTCAGCCAACTCACTGATACAGTAGTACTTTGCTTCAGCTAATAACTCTGCCATTTCTTTCGTACTTTCCGGCAATGGAACTGAACCGTCCCGTAAAAAATTCAAGATTGTCCCGAAATGTTTGCCGCACCGATCGATCAATATCCAGCCTATGACAGAGAGAAAAATATCATGTAAATCGGAAGGTACAAATAAAATATTAAGTCGAGCGTTTTTTTTTGGGGGAGGAAATTCTTAGAGGATGAAATAGCTCATCATTTTGTTCTCAAGAATCAAGCGAAAAAAATCGATATATATTTTAGTCTGCTTTGCATAGTTTATCGATTTAAAAACTTTCAAAATTATTGCAACCCAAAGTAAGATGCCTCACCTTCGGAGTCAGTGAGCACTTCCATGCGACCGCTAAACATAGCACGTAGCATAGTATCGTGCTTTTGCAAAGTGCCTATCGTGGTATAATGGAGCGAGCCTCCGATGTTCAGTTTGACATACTCCGAGGGACATTTAATTACCGTCTTATGCTCGCCCGACATAACGAACTTTTGGCGAGTGAACCTGGCAGAGCCGAGGCCGAGTACTGACAGCACTGATACTTGACGCGACGACGCGCGACCGTAGAGCAACCGTATATCGATTTTGTCGATATAATCAAGAATGCTGCGTATGTGTATATAAGCGACAGATATCTAAGGAAACTTTCGCGATGAAATGATGTGACGACGCGCGGTTCACGAGCGTGCTCGATGTGACATCAATAAGCGATCGATAAGCTGGCCGCTTTATATTCGCTGACATAGAAAAAGCGAAAAAGACGCGGATCTCAACGTGTCCGCACGTCGCTCCATTTTCTCTCATTCATTACTGCTCATTATCAACACGTAGAGCTACTGCTATTATGAACTAACCAGAACTATAACGGCGAATGCGACAGCAGCTCTTGATCATGGTATATAAAACTGTCAAGAATGTCGCGAGGTATATAAATATGTAGATACTTCTCGTCGAATGCTCGAAATAATGGCGGTGGATCTGAACCAATCAGAATCGTCTGTCCATCTCGGAATGAATAACCTCGCGTGATTTTATTATCCTAGACTGTCCTAGACGCGAGAAAATGGCGGATCCATTGACCAAGTACGGTATTTACATCGATGATTTTAGCAAGATACTCATTTTAGAGCCAGAAGCGGCCAATCAATCCAACAAACTAAAGGAGGAGTCTCAAAATTTCGTATCCAGTAAGTCACGTTGTCACGCGGTGTCGATAAGTGATGTCAACCAAGTCACTCTAGCTCTCTTGTCACTCTCACCTGATCTCTACTGACAGTGCGGATCTTTCCACTGTCCACTGTCACTGTGTGTCTGCATTCGCTATTTATTTGATGAATATCTGCGTGAGAAAAACGCACATTCGCACACTCGGGTAGCAATTAATGTCGTTTGTGATTGTGTTAACGAATACCGATCTTATCTCGTCGATTGGAACGCTTAATCGTTTATGACTAAATGGGATCCCATTGGTCATCGTGGCGCGAAATATATACAATTTGAAATTTTTTTTATACATGCGAAAAATTAAATATAAACCAATATATTGTAACGTTATGTGACATATGAAATAAATGAGTTAACTCTGATACTAGGATTGAGCAATTTTTAAAACTACGCACAAAAACGTATATCCTATTTTATCGTCGATTATTGCAACCTTGTCATAAATTTTGCTTCAAAAATATTTATCGATATCGTCATGATGATCGAAAATTTTCATCTTGCAGAGATTACCGAATTTGAGAAAAATTCCGATGACTTCATCAAAATATTAGACGATTTGGGGAAGGAAGTAGAGAAAGAGAAAATGAAAACAATCGGTGCACGAAATGTCTTGCGTTCCATTGCGAAACACAGAGAAGCCCAGAAACAGCAGATGCAGGTTTGGAAATAATTAGAAGGATTTTGATAATAATACATATTCGTTTTCGATCGATCTTAATTTATTTTTTTTTATTACAGGCTTTAATTTTGGAAAAATCCATGGAATTGGAACGACTACGAGTACAATACGATTCTTTAAAAAAGATAGAAATGGAACAACTAGAAACCATCGAACATTTGTCAGTGAATTAATATCGTTGCATTAATGTATTAAACTTTTAATTCATTTTTAATAAATTTACATTTTTTTTATTGAACAATTTTTGCTTTTGCTAATAACGTAATGATTTTAGAATTTAGAAAGTATCGACATATTTATAGGATTTAGTCTTTAGAATTCTAAAGCCGGCATTATATATATATGTGTCTTTCACGACAAAAAGTTTGTGTTAATTAGTTGGTAGATAGATTTTTATAGCGTTTTCGAATGAACGGTTTAATTCAACCCGGTTCAATTAATCACTATATTTTACTATGAATTCAAGTCTTTTATTGGCAGAGACAATGCAATGACGTCATTAATCGCTCTCAAAGCGATTAAATCTGCTATATTCGAAAACACTATTAGATCCGATATCCAATTGCTACGTTTGTGAAAAGTAGATAGTGATAAATGTACCTGCCAATCATCTCATTGGACAACGGGCAGTGTGCAATGGGCGTGTTTAGCAGAACAAACCGCTTATTATTAGTAGCAATCAAATGTGATTGGTTCTTACTTTTAGAATCAACAAATCAACGTAAAGTATTGATAAGACGACAACTCAACAGTTGTTCTGTTGACGCGGCCAATAGTATGTTCTTAGATATCAGCGGTGACGTCACAAAGAATTTCGCGCGCGAAACGTTATCGCAGACTTCTCACTTCGCAGACATTTCTTGTCAAGCGTCCGACATTCACCGTACGAGTTCCAGAAACATCGTTATCACTGCAATTTTGGTATCAGCCGATTCACAGTTTCTACAAGTTCATCGAAATCGTCTTCACATATTTCTTTTTACTTTCTCGCCGAAGCATATCTATATAATACGTGTATATCATCGTAGCCAGGTATGTATAGTCTTCGTTTTCTCATTAACTTTTGGCGGCCACATTCTTCATTAAAATTATTTTGAGTGTTATTTGCATATTTATTTTGCCGTTCTCTTTGACCATTTTAATTCTTCGAAATTGGCAATATTTGTCTTCGCTAGATCTCGACTCGCGATGACATCGCAAAAAGATTTCGCACGCGAAATGTTATCGCAGACATTTCTTTAAGCGTCCGATATTCATCGTACGAGTTTAATATCAAGAAACATCGTTTTCATCACAATTTTGAAATCAGCCGATTCACTTCCTCTTCTTCTTTCCTTTTTTATGACCACATTCGATCTAGGTGGGATCAGTACATTCCGGCCAACAACTGGTTGAGAGTAACAAATAAGTAACAAAGTAACAAAAAGAAATTCCTTTTTAGAAGAGGAGAAAACTCAAAAATAAGGTCCAAACAAAGGACACACCCATAACGTGTCTAAACACGTCCGTTCCTGTCCGTGGGCGGTAACAAACTCTCAGCCGATTCACAGTTTTTACAGGTTCGAAATCGTCTTCACATATTTCTCTTTACTTTCCCGCCGAAGCATATCTAATACGTGTACATCATCGTAGCCAGGTATGTATTGTCTTCGTTTTCCCATTAACTTTTGGCGGCCATATTCTTCATTAAAATTCGCTGCATATGTATGAGTGGGAAATTACAACTAACGTGAATGTTACATGTAACAAATACGTTATATTACTTGTTACATTCCGTTTTATTATGGCAATGTTACAGTTATGTATCTGTGTTTGCTGGGGTGTTATCTCCGAGGGGATGATAAAGAAAATAGCAAAGGCGGGGATCAATTTTGGAATATTACAAGATACTTATAAAGAAAGTGGAAGAGAGAGTCTAGATCAATTGTTGTCGGCTACACAAGAAGACAATAAATCTCGTGTCACCGCGAACAAAAACGTCATAGAAAAGATTCAAATATTTTTAGATAAGAACCAAACACCAGCAGTCGTATAATTTTAAAACAAAGAGAAAAATTATTAAAAAAAAATATATATTTGTTTAAGAATTCTCTGTGTTAGACAATGTAACGTTTTTACTTCTTCATAGAGGAAGCTTTGTTCTCATGAAAAAAAAATTTTTTCGAGATTTTTATGTCAAGACTAAAATGTCTAGATGGATGTTTGTGTATTCAGAAAAATATCTGCTGTCACGACGTAATAGCAAATAATACTCGATTTTTGCTCTATTTTCTCTATTATATTATATCGGCAAGCCGTGCTATCAGAAATCAAGCTTAATGAGAACGCAGCAGAGCGAAATCTGCTGCGAAGTCATGATTGAATTTGTTGGCATATTGCTGGCATACTGCTAACATTTCGCTATCTGGGTATGTATATATATGTATAATTGTACAGATGTTTGGATAACATATCTAATAATATGTACACCAAGTTTTAATAAATTCTTAAAGAAACTTTTTCGTGGAGATACTATCTTAATACTTAACTTTGAGATTGGCAATATTAGATGCTAGGTGCGTTCAGGAGATACAACCATTGCACAACCGTTGGGTAGCAATCGAACGTGATTGGTTCTTACTTCTAGAACCAACAAATCAACGTCGAGTATTGACAAGACGATGCTCAACGGTTGTGTTTTCTGAACATACCCATGGTTCTTCCCTAGATCTCGACTCGCGGTGACGTCACAAAAAAATTCCGCGCACGAAAAGTTATCGCAAACGTTTCTCGTCGATCGTCCGACGTTCATTGTACGAGTTTAATATCACAGAATATCATTATCACTGCAATTTTGGTATCAGTCGATTCATAGTTTCTACATGTTTGAAATTGTCTTGACATATTTCACATTACTTTCCTGTCGAAGCGCATCTAAAATACAATTGGTACATCATCATAGCCAGGTGTGTATGTATACCAGTCATTGTTTTGCCATTAACTTTTGGCGGTCACATTTTTCGTTAAAATTCGCTGCATATATAATATATGTGTAGAGTTGTATCATTCCTAACATTTACTAAAATATTTCAAGTGTTATTTGCATATTTATTTTGCCGCTCTCTTCGACCACTTTAATATTTCGAGATTGGCAATATTGCTCTTCGCTAGATCTCGAACCGTGTGGTGACGTCATAAAAAAATTTTGCGCGCGAAAAGTTATCGCAAACGTTTCTCGTCGAGCGTCCGACATTCATCGTACGAGTTTATCACGAAACAACGTTATCACTGCAAGTTTGGTATCAGCCGATTCATTGTTTCTACACGTTTGAAATCGTTTTGACATATTTTACTTTACTTTCCCGTCGAAGCGCATTTAAAATACAACGTGTACATCATCGTAGATATGTATGCACAGTCATTGTTTTGCCATTAACTTTTGACGGTCATATCTTTTGTTATAGTAAAATTCGCTGGATATATGTATAGTTCAATCACTTCTAACATTATTAAAATATTTCGAGTATTATTTGTATATTTTTTATTCCGCCGCTCTCTTCGACCATTTTAATACTTCGAGGTTGGTAATATTGTTTTTCGAGTCTTCGATGGATCTCGAATCAGTTTTGCAACGCGTATTTTTACCGCTCCGTATTTATATGGCATTTATCGCGATTATTATTGTGTTAAAGAATCTCACGTGCGATAAATTATTTCGCAAAACGTCGGACATTTTACGAAATGCATTAAACATCGTGTACAATGTTATTGTCCAAATATCGTGATTTTTTGGTGTCGACAATGACGATTAGCTTTTGCGGGAATCGATTTTTCGCGTCGATCGTTTAAAGTTTATACTTATTCAATCGCAATATTATTATTGCTAATTCGACCTTGATCCAATAGAGTCTTAAAACAGCTCGTGTTTTCTAACCTGTCTTTAACGGCCGCGATTTATAGTGATGCGTTTTAATAGAATTCGTGCCGTGAGTTATTAAACGAATTCTTGCAATATTTACATTACGCTCGTGATATTTTATATGTTATATAAGCGACGAGAATGGTAGTTACTATAGGTGAGACTGTATTTTTAATAAACTTTTTAACTTTTTTTTTTTTACGAATTACTACAAGCAAAGTAAAACAATAGAAATGGAAAGATATTAACGGGTGTCTTGTTTATATTACAGATTCTATCTTATATTTATGTATCGTGGCGGTTCTTTGGGGAGTAACTAATCCATTTATAAAGAAAGGTGCGCAAGGTTTGGAGAATGTCAAGGCTACCTCGTTTCATGTGCAATTTATCAAGGAGATCGGGTTCCTTGTTACCAATTTAAAGGTTTGTCACATTTCTGTTTCTAATATTTTACCAAATTTTATATTATAAGGTAAATGTTTATAATTGTGATTTTATTGTTTTACACAGTATATCCTGCCGTTCATTCTTAACCAGTGCGGCTCGGTGCTGTATTTTCTTACTCTGCAAAGCACCGATATATCTTTGGCTGTGCCAGTTTCAAATTCCCTTACCTTTGTGTTCACCGCAATCACAGGCTGGTTCCTGGGCGAGGAAAAAGTGCACAAAAGTGAGTATACATGAAATTATTTTAATGTTTTTGTAAAAGGAAATGTAATGAATTATTTACTTTATGATTTGCTTTACTTTTCAGATACCTATTTGGGGATGATACTTATCCTATGCGGAACAACATTGTGCTGTTGGGATAAATTGAATAAAACTGTGGAATTGTGACTTGCACATTTCAGACAACAATCATGCATCGTTATCCTTTCTGTTCCTGTCCATCCATATCCTGTCAATTAATCAACATCCTGTGAGTACCACAATATGATTAACAGATATGATCCATTCCAACAAACGAAATAAAGCAATATCATGCTTAATTTCACGAATATCATGGAATATATATTTGAATATATTTTATTATTAATGTGATATTATATGCTAGTTTATTTTATGTATTAATCATGTTACAAAATATAACACGTTCTTAGTTTTTGCGGATTTCTATGTGTTTAACGCATTTTATGCTTACAAAAAGAATAACGTCTATATTAATACATAATAGATTTTATTGGTAATTACGTACAATATTGTTAATATATATATTCATGATATTTACATGCAAATCGTTTAATGATCCGTATGTACACATACACATGTAAGTAGCACCAGATAGGAATGAAGTAATCGCTATGGTGCAAGATGACTATTTATGTCGCCATATATAGTTAATTTATCTTTTTGTCCACACGCAAAAGCGTATCACAGTACAACAAATAACGTTTAGCGTTGCGTGTTTTACTCCTTTACATATTGTTATTGGAAATGGCAAAAGTATCTCTCAAATATGAAAAATTTGCAAACAGTATAACTGTATTACAGTATATAACTGTAATCTGTGATCCACGTATGTATAGCGACAAGAGTTTATGTAGAAACGCAATAGGTTCTAGTAAAAATTGGTTAAAAATTACGATTATTAACATAAAGATTTATATACAATAAGCATGCAGAGACAAGATTGATCTATGCACAGAAAGATGATTATTGTCGTACATATAACTGTCCGTATTTTATATTTTCTCGATTGTCGCGATAAAATATGAAAAATATTTTCTCTTGAATTTTATCTAGTAATTATATATATTATAGAAATGTAAAAAAATGATGATGGCACTCTGATTCACGGTAGAATGAAATGACGCGTTAATTTCTCATGATATGCGCAACACATAATTATATGAAAATATGAAATGGGAGAAGTACTTTTTCTTGAGTCTAGAAGAAGACTCGAAAGTTAATACGCAATGAAATGTTAATTCACAATATGTGAATGTGTCTTAAAAATGCATTCTCATCTTGTGTAACAAATTTAATACGTTAAATTTGGCAGAGAGAAGGCTATTAAAATAATGTAGCATTTAATATATTGAGAAAATTCTCATTTTAGAATACACAATTCGTATTTAAACTTATTCAAAAACTTACATATTCGATCATATTCCTTTTGCAATCTTCTTTGTTACAAGAAGCGTTATATTTATTTAATGCGCAAAGTATAACAATATTAATTTGACGAGCAACTTAGGTTCGAAGCTTCCTCACGTGTATCTATTTGTATTTGGATAAGTGTATTTATTTCGTTATGTGTAAGAGTTTGTGTCTCGGATGACACAGAAATTCTATAAATTCGCGAAATCGATTAACATGCTAACAGTAATTAATTTGCATGTCGTTGCCGCAAAATTATGCGCTACTCGGTTAAAGAATTAGAAACCCGCGAGATCGCGATCGATGCTCGTGTAAGTTAAAAATTATATATAAGAGCGGTATATATTATATCGATAAGTCGCGTCGTTATTAATCAGCGCGCGCCGGATATATCGACGCTTATTAATCGCCTACGAGATTACGAGAATTACGTTTACTCGAGAGACTAGCATTGATCAATGGCCGTCCAATTTAGGCGCGTGATTTTTTGCTTTTCAGCTTGAACCATCCCGCGCTCTTGTTCGGATCGCGTGGCACGGACGTGGACCTGCTCAATTCCGGCTTGGAGCTCCGCGATTTTGTGGCCAACGATTCCGTGGAGACGGTTCTATCCACTTTCTGCTTGTCCTTCGATTTCACTGTACTGCGGTTGATCGTACCTGCAAATAGGATTACGATTTGTAACCTTATTTATAATATAATAGAGCTTGCAAAGTAAGCGTTAGTTCTGATAGTTGCCTCAATTTAGCATTAATGATTAAAAACTTCAAATAAAAAAATTGGATGATTATTTTTCTTAAAAAAATTAAATTAAGTTTCTTTTATTTTTTTTTTAATTTAATCATTTGAATCTAATTAATTGAATTTATTATTAAAAAATATTGATTTCTTTCGCTTCTATTAAGACAGTCTTGTTATTCATTTGCTAAAATGTCCTACTCATTTCTTTGCAAATCTTTATTAATAAAAATTAAATATAAAAAAAAAGAAATATATTGCCATACTGGAGATTGTCTATCAAGAATAGATATTTATTTTCCTTAAGCATACGGGATTTATTTCCACATTTTATTTAACGGTAGAAACATTTATTCATTTCGTTCAAAAATAGGACCATATTTACTCGTCTTGGAAAGATTGTCCTTGCTTCGCCGAGCTTCCTTTCCTCGACGACTGAGGGTCTCGCGACTCCGTTGCCTCCGTCTCATGGTCGCGATCGGTTTCGCGTGCTGTTGCTGATCGTAGTTGATCTCGAACGGTTCCCTATAATGTCGTGGTTTCCACGGTGCAAGGACGCTCACGCTTCTCGACACCGTTCTCGTGTGCGATTGCAACGGTCGATTTAACTCCTCGCGACTCGCCGCCCGACGTCGCTCGTTCGGGCCCGGTATTTCGCCGACTGGAATGCAGATATATCGGGAATTTAATCGCAATTACAGAGTGCGGTTACGCTTGACGACATTTTCCGTACTTTCACTGTCGAATGTTATTCAACTCGTTAGTTAAATAACTTTGAACAGCCAACCGGAGAGAGAAAGAAAGAGACAATTTTTCATGTTTTCTATGACGCAAGTGCAACGGGTATTACACAATTTCGAACGCTCAATGAATAATTTTCGGCTTCATAAACCATATCTTTTATATAACGATAATACGTTATGACAACATATATACAAGATAAGAGATTAAAAAAAAAAAAAAGATTTAAACACGTATTCTTAGATTAATTTACAATAGAGCCGACATTTCTTTAATGTAAATTTAATTAGACAATATATTTTTGTAATAAATTATTATTTATTTCAAATATCAATTTATATAAATTCAAACATATCAATTTATTTAATTCATTCCTTGAAGCTTGATCCGCAAAAAAATTTTTTTGTTTAATCGCTTATAATATGAATATTAATAATATTCTTCACAGTTTTGACATGTGATCACAAATTAAAATTCTTGGTTTCCGAATACCTTTTGAAGTTTTGAAAGAAAAGAATTGTATGTGTGAATATACGGAAAGAATAATATTGCATTATTGTAACAAAATATTATAATGGAACAATTACTAAAATACTAAATAAAATGTTAGATGAAGAATATAAATAAATAGATTGTACCTGTAGCAGCATGGAGATACACGACAGATCTTTGCGATCTCTGAGAGTTTTGACTTTGCTGGCTGCTATCGCCGGTTGTGCTCTCGCCCGAAGACAACGCGCTTTCAGCGAGTCTTGGAGGTTTCTTCGGGGCTGATATGATACCCAAATTATGGCGGTTCGAATTTGTGATGTCACGCCTTGAGCAGGCGTGATCGTTAATTCGTTTATTTCTGAAATATGTAATTATTCTTGTAGTGTAGAAATTATGTTTTCAATTAGCATGTGTATGTGTACATTATATTTTCTTCTTTGTAAGAAATATTTTACAAAAGAATTCTCTCTTGTTAATTTCAAATAAATTAAAAATTATTTCTCACAAATTTTACATAATCAGAAACTGATATAATACTCAAATTATGACGATTCGAATTTATGACATTACGCCTTGAATAGGCGTGGTCGTTAATTCATTTATTTCTGAAATAAGTAAGTATTCTTGTAGTGTAGAAATTATATTTTCAATTAACATGTGTATGTGTACATTATATTTTTTTTCGTAAGAAATATTTTGCAAAAAAACTATAACTTTAAACAAATTAAAAATTATCTCACACAAATTTTACATAATCGGAGACTAAAAATTAATAATAATCGAATGAATAAAATAATAAAAAAATAAATAGCAAAATAGACAATTGGATATGTTTGTTTATAATGATAACGCTAATGATATCAATTACATATAATAACAAATATAATAATAGTAATAAAGTTAATCACTTGGAGAGCAAACATTGAAATCACTCTCGCGCAAAATATTTCATCGGGCGCATATAAAGCCGTATATGCGGTTCGTATTATAGCATTTACCTGCGGTCTCTGTTGGACGAGACGGACTCCTGATCCGTATCGCCGAAGAAGCGAAGATTCTTTTGCACGGAAACTCGTTCAGGCGCGGAGGAAGCTTCCTCATCCTCGGTGCCGGTCGTCAAGATCTCGCTCTCGGGTATTCTCGGCTTTTTATCCACCGGCTGCAAAGTTATCGACGCTTCATTATTCATGATCTCGACCAAATATAGCCGCGCGCGCAGATTATTTTTGCCGTATAACAATTACGCCCGCTTATTCCAAATATCGATTTATCGAACGTTGTAATTTCGCGAACGGAAGACGGACTTTTGCGAGAGCGCGATAGATTGAAACGTATCGCTGTAATGATATATTATTCCGCGGTAATATATAATTTTCATAGCGCTAAGCACATACTTGGCTTCAGTTTCCCGACTTTTAAGGGCGGTTTTGCCAATCTCGACTAACTTTGACTATAGTTTAACTAATTTTTTAGAAAAAATCAATTCTCAAAATCTTTTTTTTTTTTAGATAAAATTTAAAAGTTGGGAATAAAAAAAGATCTTCGTATTTTTAAACTATGTTATTTTCAAGTATTTCACCACAAATATTTTTTACAATCTTTTTGTAATAAAATTGAACAAAATATTATCTGAATCGAGTTTCAATGGACATAAGAAAATTTATTATGCCTACTGTGAAATAATCTTATTATCCCTTCTATAGGATAATGAGATTAAGAATAAGGATTAAGGACTCTTCGAGTTACTAACGTGGCTTCGGAGAAAATAGAATACGACGCGAGATAATAACGTAAGTCCGACTCTCCTCTTTGTCAATTGTTCGAGACGAGTCAGACGCAGATAACTGGGTCTCTTCATTGACGATCGCGAATTTTTCGGACTCCGAACCCCTTCTCCGCGTCTCCCGATCGACCGGCAGAAAATCGCGCGAGAGCGCGTACAAAGCCGTATTCTTCCCGCGGTTCGCAAAAATCGCGGCCTCCCCCCCGTGGGTTGCATCGCACGGCGCCTTCCATGAGTCATGATTCTCCCCGGGCCGACTCATCCGATAGATCATCGTCCACGGCGAGAGATTCATACGCACGCAATCATCTCGAACGAGCGCGAGTATTCCAGCGCGGCTTTACAGTTGCGAGCGAGCATCTTTTCTCCTCTCCTCTCCTCTCCTCTCATCTCCTCTGCTCAGGCTGAGAGATCGCAGGAGAGAATCGGGACCTGACAGAGATTATTCCCGCGCGGGCGGGCGCGCGGACGATGGTCGGGCTTATAGGGCTAGGCAAGCAACCTCCTCTGATCGGCACTTAATCTCGCGATTAAATTAAACCACAGAGCGCGGAGTTAGTTAAGCATTTAATCAAACCGGTAATTGGAGGTTGCGCTGCCCTAATGGCTCCTCCGCGCAGCGACCCGCGCTCTCTGACTGATGAATGCGTACCGGCCTGGGTGCGCGCGAGATAACCACGGGCACGATCCCGGAGGAGAGAGAGACAGAGCCCCCTCGTTATCGGATCATACCCACGAAAAAGATCCTAGGCTCGCGGAGGAGGATTTGCCGCGTTTCCGATCGTCGGCGTTTTTTTTTTTTTATTAGGCTCCTAATTGGCGTCATCTTAAATGGCATACACGCGACCATCATGTATCGTTCTCGAGTGTCTTTCCGTACGATTGGATGTACAATATTGTATCGACTTCGATGGGACAATAACTCGTGAAAAATACGAGTTTCATTCGCGGCACGCGTTCGATATTAAAACTTTCGAGTTGATACGATATATAGTAAGGAGGAAACGTTAAATAAGATTCATATTATCGAGATAACCCGATCGCGCAGCCTGACTAGATTGATCTCGCGATTTTCCGCAGACTCCAACACAACTAGTTAAATTCGTTTGATAAAAATAAGATGCGATTCGCTCCCTGAACGCTCTCGTTATTTATATTAACCGCTNNNNCGCTCTTTTGCCAATCGCTCCCGATCTTTCGTCACAGTTTTCCATTCTGCTACTCGACTTTTAAGTATTTTGCTTAATTTTGATATGAAAGGTGAAGAGAAAAATTGAAATTATAATTATGTATCAAATTAAATATGACATAACAATTAAGATCCTAAATCGAAAACCCATATTTGGGATAAATATGAGATTTGTAATTACACTGTTGGAAAATTTGGCTTAAATTTAACATATATCGCATGTCCCAAACAATACACATAAATTTTTGTATTAATTTAATTTAACGTAATATGGATATGTTAAATGGTGACACTAATATCATGTTAATATTTCAACACAAAAAATAAATGCAAACAGCATCGGAATTTGAAATAAATTTTCTGTAAAATCAACATATTTTTAATATTATTTTTAATATGTTGATAAAATTAACTTGGAAAAAATGTTATTGACGGTCTGTAGTCACTCTCATTCCTCTATTGTAGAATAAAATTAATATTTTTTCCTACAAATTTTAATAGATAAATCTTGTCACTAATAATACGGAACATATCTATTGTGTAAAATTAAAAATACGTGCACATTGTGTTATTTTTACATTTTCTCAGCTTTTTTAATAATTTAACATTTGAATTCGATTAATACAACAGCAATATATTAAATAAACACATAAATATGTTAAATATTTAAAACGAAAATTGTAACCGGCATATTTTTTAACTTTAAGAAAACACATTTTCCAATAGTGTATTTGGGATAAATTTGGGCAATCTAATCAGAATTTATGCGATATCTGGGAGAATCTTGGTAAATTTTTACGCGGGTAGGAGCCTCGCGGGCCCCAGCCTCGGTGTAAAAAAACTCGCCCCCTCGAAGCGGAGGATGTGCACAGGCAGGCAGGCAGACGCGTGTCCGTTTCATTCCCCGACGACGTCCACGTCGTCGTTATTATTATCATCGCGTTTTGCATCATCACCATCATCAGCGCTGCCACCTCCGTCATTTACTCTCGCTCTCGCGTATGCATAATGCGCGCTGGCGTGCTACGGCTTCGGGCGCTTATCACGACTCTCCCTGTTTATTCATCGGTATCCTCGCCAAAGACCGCGCCGACGATCGTAATCGCCGTCGTCGAAGGTCGCCGAAGCCGTCGCCCGAACACGTAACGCGCTCGGGAAACTGCAAACAGGAAGTATATCGCCGCATATCGGAATATTATCTCTCTCATGGATCCATTGACGCAATCGACGCGCGATTACGCGTTACTTCAATGAAATCAGAATACCGCGAAGATATCGAGGTATGATATTCAATGTATGTGGGTAAGCCTATAACGAGCGTTTATAATACGCAATAATCTGTCATATCTTAGAGTTCATATCCATTAATCCTTATCGAGAAATATATTTTTATCTGAATTTTTTTTTATTCGGATAAACGAAAGGATCTTGCGATGTCATGATACGTCATGGATCATTTGATGTACTTATAAATATCACGAAATTTTTACAAGAACCTCCCTATATTTTTAATTAATTGTCACATCTGTCAGGAACGCAGATGAGGGTTTAATCGACACACGTGAAAGATATAAAGATAAACATATGTTTCGGAAGAAGCTGAATCTTATTGTGTTGTTTGAAAGAAAATTCTGAAGATCTCTATTGCATATAACTATTGTATAATAGTATTGTATAGCCATATTCTCTCGCACAATCTCTGACATCGTTCGAATGGCAAATCGTAGTTATCGTGAATTTTCTGACGAGGTACTAGACTAGAGTGTATGAAAAGGACGCTGATTCCGTACAGTGCATCGATTCTTATGCCTCTTTCTCTCTATCGACTTACCGTGCGTGCTCGCCGGACCTTTCAATACGCAATATAATAACATATAACGCGTATACATACGTGCACCGCGTACCCACCGCGAAATAAGCTCTTAAATGACTCACAATGAATAGCCCATATCGCGGAATCATCTGCATAGTACAAGCACGGCGCGCTTCCCTGGTATTCTCCATATATACGAGCAACAATATCCCGCGTGTGTGCTTTCCATAACGAGTCGACGACGACGACGACAACGACGAGGACCACGATGACGACGAGGACGAAGAAGAGGTCGAGTGATGCTGAGAACGAAGAAAAAGCCGGGGTCCCCGGCATAGAGCAGGGAAGGGGGAAGGAAGAAGAGGAGGATGAGGAGGAGGCCCTAAGGGTATTGTGACCCACGCACCGCCCTGCTAACTCTTACACCGTCCGTGGCCTTCCTCCTCGCCCTTTTCTTCTCTTTTATCTTCTTCTTCCTCAGTTTCTCTCTCCCTCCTCGCCTCCTTCGTCCGGGGAATGCGTTATGCGTAAGGCTACTCCTTGCTCCTTTGCTCCTCTCTCTTTTGTGACTCGGCGTGGGCCGTCAAGATTGGGCTAGGTCGCTTACGTACCCAAGCGCGGACGATGATGCGTGCTTGTGTGAGTGCGTGCATCTCCCCCCCCCCTCCCCTCTCCCAACGCATAACTCTGCAACATTAAACCGCCCGCCGTAGGTCACCGGTAGATTACGCATAAATTCCGAGGGATGCGATTTACGACCTTAACTGGCATCTCACCCCCCCCCCCTCCTTCCCCTTCCCGTCCCGCTC